CTCATGGTTTGTCTCCCCCTCCGATTTCCCCCCCTTCATTCTTCCCCTCCTGCTATCTTCTTCTTCTTCTTCTTTTTTTAACATATATTGTATTATTTGTTTCAGAGGTACAGATCTGTGATTCAACAGTCTTGCACAATTCACAGCGCTCACCATAGCACATACCCTTATGTCTTTTAAAGAATTTAAGAGAAAAATTAAGAAAAATGTATTTTTAGAGTATTTTATATTAACCCTCATATTTACCAGTTCTGCTGCTTTTTATTCCTTCTCGTGGATTTAAGTAATCATCTGGTGCCATTTCCTTTCAGCCTAATGGACTTCCCTTTAGTGTTTCTCACAAGGTGAGTTTGCTAACAATATATTATCGATCTTTGTTTATCTGAGAATGTCTTTATTTCACTTTTAGTTTTGGAGGATAGTTTTGCTGGATATAGAATTTTTTGTTCACAGTTTTTTTTTTTTTTCTTTTAGCACTTTGAATGTGTCATTCCAGTGCCTTCTGCTGTTTTTTTTTTTTTCCTGATGAAAAGCCATCTGTTAATCATATTGTTATGTTTTTCCCAATACATGAAGAGTTGGTTTTCTCCTGCTTCTCTCATGGTTTTCTCTTTGTCTTTCAAAAGTTTTATTATGATAAGTATAGCTGTATATCTCTTTGTATTTAACCTACTTGGGATTTGTTTAGTTTCTTGGATGTTTGAAGTAAAGTTATTCATCGATCTGGAAACATATTGGCCATTATTTATGGTTTATTTTTTAGCCCCTTTCTCTCTTTCTTTTGGGATTCACATTATACATGCTGTTGTGCTTGATGTTGTTCTACATGTCTTTGAGGCTCTGTTCAGTTTTGCTCAGTCATTGTTTTCTCTCTCTTCTTTGTAGTGGATAATTTTCATTACTCTGTCCTCAAGTTCATGCATTCTTCTGCTATGTCAAGTCTGCCCCTGGGCCTCTCCAGTGACCTTTCATCATTATTGCATTCTTCAACTCGAGACTTTCCATTTGATACATTATTATTTCTTTTTCCTTTTAGAGAATCTCTATTTGTTGATTTATTATGGTCATACTTCCCTTTAATTCTTTGCTTATGTGTGTGTGTGTATATAAAACAGTTGCTTTGAAGTCTTTCACTACCAAATCCAACTTCTGGGGACCCCTGAAAACAGAAGAATGCTCTTCTCCCCCCGCCCCCCGACTATGGGTCATATTTTCCTGTTTCTTTGTATTTCTCACATTTTTTTGGGTTAAAAACTGGACACATCAACTCTGGATTTTTATTTTCTTCTAGAGGTTATTTCTGATTTTTGCTTGTTCATTTGTCTGTTTTTTGAAGTAATGTACCTGGGCTAAATCTTTGAAATCTATCTCCCTTGCTGTGTGTAGCTGCTGGTGCTGTTTTTTCTTTTTTTAATGTTTAATTTTAATTTTTAACTTATGGCTTTTGTACCCCTGTGTCTGCCTAGCTTAGGGATCAGTCAGTATTTGATCAGAGGTATTCTCAAATAGCTTGAGTTAGTAAACCTTCTATCCGCTGTCAAAGACCTTTGTGTGGGTGGAGGAGCACATTCAAAATTTAGGCATTTTCAAATCTGCCTGGCTTTTGCTTTTCACCGGGTTGCTCATGTTTCTTATGTGAGGACACATGGCCTTAGAGTCAGCTAGGAGTCTGTGTCTGGCTTGGGCCATTTCCAGAGGCATTCTAAACAATCTCCAAGACGACCATTTCCACTGTGACTGCTGCTAGGCAGGGGTGTCATCCATTGGTCCGAATTGAGTGAGTTCCCTCAGCTCTGGTATTGCAGCTGCTGTGCCCATGGGTACCCTTCTCTGAAGTGCAGCGCTTTTCAAGCATGAACACTTCTAAGATGGTTGCATGCTGTTGGATGATTTCCACCATGTGGAAATGTTTGCTTTTGTCAACTTGTGCAGTTTTATAATTGATTTTTGGAAAGAGCATTCGCCAAACTCCTCACTTGGCCACATGTCAAAGTGCTGCCTCCCCAGAGTGCATTTGTGACTGGGAATGTGGAGCAGATCTGAGCGTGCTTAGAGGGATAGAGGAAGGAGAGAAATGGCTGTATATGAGGCTGTAAGTGTTGGTTGGGGTAGAGGAGCCTTCATTTAGCAGAGGAGGAAAATGGCAGTGCCCACAGGGAAAGGGATTTTTCCCAAGTTCTTGAAGCTCAGTCAGTAGAGAGTAGACACTGGAACCTGGCCCTCCTGACTTCCAATCCAGTGCTCTTTCCCTTCTGCCAAATTGCTTCAGCAGTTGTTGTTTAGAAGTCTGAATCCCTAGGAGTTTTCAGTGTGGCAGATCCATCATCCATCCATCCATCCATCCATCTTCTTTCCTTCCATCCATCCATCCATCTTCTTTCCATCCATCCATCCATCCATATCCTTCCATCCATCCATTATCCTTCCTTCCTTCCATCCATCTTCTTTCCTTCCATCCATCCATTATCCTTCCTTCCTTCCTTCCTTCCATCCATCCATCCATCCTTCATTCATTCATCCTTCATCCATCCATCCATCCATCCATCCATCATCCTTCCTTCCATCCATCCATTTTCTTTCCATCCATCCCTCCATCCATTATTCTTCCTTCTATCCATTATCCTTCCATCCATCCATTATCCTTCCTTCCTTCCATCCATCCATCATCCATCCATCCATCCATCCATTATCCTTCCTTCCATCCATCCATCCTTCTCTCCTTCCTTTGGTCCATCCATCCATCAATCCATCCATCCATCCATCCATCTATCCATCCAGTATTTATTAAGTACCTACTGTGTACCCAGCACTGTGCTGTGCTCTAAGGCAAAGTAGAGAACAAAAACTGATGTGGCCCCAGTGTTATGACCCTCATAGTCTCAGAGTAGGACACCAGCCTCAGGAAAGGGCCTTGCAAGATCCATGTTGAAGAAGTATCCCATGTTTCTCTGTTAGTCTTAGTTAAGGCAATAGCCCTTTCAAGGGAAAACAATAAGTTTTAATTAATCTCCAAGGTGAAATCCCTCAAAACATGATTTCAATCAAATATAATTTGTGGAAAATATTTGGTAGCAAAAATTTTGATTTCTGAAATGAATTTCAGAGGCAAGCATACTGTGAATTCTCTTTCAGGATATTTATTAAAATGGAAAGCTCTGAAAACTCCTCCTCCAGAGAAATCTATAACTCTGAGGCCCTTGGCCTTACACAGAGGGAACGTTGCGGACCAGCATGGTACTTAGACACTTTGCTGCCTGTGCTATGCCAAGGTGCCATATGGAACCTGAAAATTTCAGGAAAGACTCTGGATGCTTTGTCCACATGACAACAAATAATTGGATACTTAGATATGAGATTTTGGACTCTGTCTTGAGTCATCCTGTGGGAATTCCTAAATACAACCTCAGAGGGATTAATGGAATTTTGTATCTCCTCTTTTTTCCTTCTCTGTTTCTTCCCCCCTGGGTGATCTCGTTCCGTACTCACGTCCAGGTCTGTGTCTCAAGCCCTGATTCTGTCCTGGGCTCCATTTCCCAAGGGCCCTGGAGCCTCCCTGCCAGTGTGCCACCAGGTGTCCCTGTGTTCCTGTATCTGCCAGGCTCCCTTCAGCTAGGTCAGGCCGTGAACCCGCGCTCCGGCTGATGGGCCGTGAGTGATGGCGGGTGACTCCCAGATCCAACCCCACAAAATATCCTGTGTGGTTCTCCGGCTTTCTCCTCTGCCACAATGACCTTGCAGGCTAGATGTTCCAGATCGCAGAGCTACAAGTTGGAGGGGGACGTGCCTGACCCGCGTCAGACTTTGTGAATGAGAGCAACGCACCCTTCTTGGGTTATTTACCCCACTGAGATTTGGAGTTCATTTGTTACTGCAGCCCAGCCTAGGCTAGCCTGACTCATAGCTCCAGGATGCCCCACAGACACCTTGGAGGCGACACGTCCAAAGCTGAGCATCCACCTTCTTCGAATTTGTTCCCTAACTGTGCAGTGGCATCGCTGTTGTCCCAGATGCTTTTGAGTCTCTCTCTTTTTTTTTAAAGATTTTATTTATTATTTGACAGAGAGAATGAGAGAGAGAGAGCATATGAGAGGGGGGAGGGTCAGAGGGAGAAGCAGACTCCCCGCCAAGCAGGGAGCCCGATGCGGGACTCGATCCCGGGACTCCAGGATCATGACCTGAGCCGAAGGCAGTCGCTCAACCGACTGAGCCACCTAGGCGCCCTGCTTTTGAGTCTCTTTAGAGAGACTTGCACGGGAGGGGCCCACCTCCCTGTCCTCCTCCCCACTGTGCTTGCTCACATCTCATCATCTCTTACCTGGACTGATGCCGTAGCCCCTGCTGGCCTCCCTGTCTCTTTTCCAAGCTTTGGCTTTCAGGAGCTACCAGAATTATCATTCTGAAACACAAATCTGATCGTGTTGTTCCTGTTCTTGAAAGCCCTGGAAGGTTCTCTTTCACCTTGGGAGAAGGCACAAGCCTGGAGCTTTTGGGCCTGGCTTCCCCCCAAGTCTTACAGTCTTATCCTGCATGGCCAGGCCACTTGCCCCTCCCTGTGTGGGTGGTAGACCTTTGTCCTTTGTCCCTTGCAGGTCCTACACTTTGTGTTTTACTTCATCCAGGTCCTGGCTCATCATTCAAGACCTGCTCAAATGTATTTTTCTCTGCCAGCACCTCAGGCAGAATAAATTCTCCCTTCTTCCTTCCACCGTACTCAGCACATATTTCCATAATAGCCTGCGTCCTCCTGGGTGCTCATGCCGGTAAGCGGGAGGAAAGAACTACAGGGTCCAAAAGGTGGGGGAGAAACTGAATTAGTCAACGTCAAACAGATTGTTAAATTGCAGAACTTTTCCGTCCTCCGTACGCACGCACCATGTGAGTCGGTGAGAGGGGTGGCAAGCCAGCCATGGGGCTTAGACCACAGATGTGCTTCTGGGGAGCATGTCATGATGCTCATGTTCTGGGGAAGTTGTAATGTTGTCCTTTCGCTCATTTTACAGGTGGGGAAACTGAGGCCCAGAGCACACGGCTGCCAGAGGCGGAGGCGTGTGCTTGCTGGGGCCTTGGTACTGCTGACATGGGGCGGCATGTCCCTCGGGCTGCCTGCCCTCCAGCATCCGTGGGACTTACTGCTCAGCCCCCGGGCGTTGCCCTACGAATGAAGACACGCCGCACCCCAGCCCAGCACTTGGGGGATGGTGGAAGACTTCCGAGGGGACGGTCTTGGGCCATTACCTCAGCGATGGGTGAGATGTGCGTCCCACAGACGGACCTACAGAGGGTTTTTCTGTCACTGTCTCATGGGACGACCTTCCATCAATGCGGTCCAGGTGCTCTTCTGAGCTTTGTACAGACCCTCCTCACCCTGCTCCACAGCCTGTGACTCAGGTGCCATTTCTGTTCTCGGTGGATGTGGGGAGACTGAGGCACAAAGACTCTTGGTGACTTACCCAGGGACCTGCAGGGCCAGGACCTGCATTCAGGCCCCCGCCTCGCTCCCGACCCCCACTGTGAGCTCGTTGGCCCCCCCGGCGCACACCCACCCCCACACTGACCATGGCAGGTGCTGGTGGACCCCGCCTCTGGGGCCTCAAGCCGCTCCTGAAGCATGACCAGTGGCCCCAGTCCTGCAGATCCACCACTCCCGCGCCTTGTGCTCCAGGACAGGTTACTTAGCCTCTCTGGGCCTCAGACGCCTGGCTTCTAAAATCAGAATCTATGCACCAACACGCTTGGCCCATGGGAAGTAATTGGCGGATGCTGCCCTCCCGCCGCCAGTTCCAATGAACTGTGGTGTATGATGCACGGGGGGAGCTTGCCTTCAGCCTCGGGGGTGAGTCCGAGGAGAAGCGGGGTCCACCAGAGCTGACCATAGGCCTCTTTCGTCCCGTCCCTCACAGACTCCTACTGGGCCAGGGCCCGTGCATTTGGAGAGACTCCTGGCCGCCGCCCTCTTTCTCAGCTCCTGAGAATCCCCAGGGACAGTTTCTGGCTCGTTGTATGCCTCTCCTCAGTCCAGCCCTCCTTTCCTCTGCCCTGCCCGCTGGAGTGCCCAAAGTGGGCTCTGGCCCCTGCAGACTGATGGGGAATCCCTCTTCCCAGGGCCCATGCGGGCCACTTACTTTCCAGGGCCTTCCCTGGTGCACATCAGATGACCAAGTACCATAAGCCTCCAAGGAGTTGAGGGCTCACTTCTCAGCCATACTGCTTCCCAGTAAGAGGGGTGGTGCCTGCACTGGTCAGAGCTGGTCACTGCCCCACTCCCTGTCCCCATAGTGCTTTATGTATGTACACAGGAGGGGAGCAGTGGGGCTCGGGGCAGGCCCCCCTGCCTGTGCCTACCTGCCTTGGGGGTCGGGTGGGTCACTGTCACTCTGGGAGCCCCGGTCTCAGCGGATGTCAGTGGAGTTGATAATCATCCCAGCCCCGTCCCAGCTTCGCAGGGTTGGGGAGGATGGATGCACGTGAAAGGCAAGGCAGAGAGGCCTGGCAGAGAGGAGGGCGCCCCAGGCCTACCCCACCCCTTGCCGGGTTCTTTAGCCACATGCTTGGGGTCACAGCCAGCTGACCCCCCCTTGCTGCGGGTGGAACCTTGGCGAGCCCCTCTGCCTTTTTGTGCCGTGCCTCTGTTTCTTCTTCCGGGAGAAGGAGGTGATGATGAAGCCCATCCCCCAGGCAACGCAGGGGCCAGCAGGTGACACTGCAAAGCGCCCCGGGGCAGAGGACGCTGGGGAAGCCTCACCAGCTCCAGACACCCTGCGGTGTCGTTGACCCGCCTGCCCCCATCACTACGGCTGAGCTCCCCACGGCCGGTCCCTTGTTCTGGTCATCCCCTGGACCCCAACACCACACTAGATGCTCCAGGGACCAGGATGCCCCAGTTGTCGCTGCCCTACCCGCCCCCCCGGCCTGCACTCTGGCACCCTGAAGCTCTGTGTCCACATCCTCACCTGTCCCCCACACTGCCTTCCCCCAGGTCATTACCCACGCTGGTGCCTCCACCGGGAGCCCTCTCCCGCTCTCTCCACCTGTTCACCCTTCCAGGCATTGATTTGTTCCCTGCCGTCTCCCTGGGGCCTCGAGCCAGGCGCGTGATAGGTGCTCCGTGAACACCCGGTGAATGGAAGAGGGACACCAGCTGGCCGCATGGCATCAGCCATGCCATGTCTATGACGGGGAGCGACCAGCGCCATCCTGGTCTCTGCCCGGTTCCGGCCTCCTGCTTGGCGAGCCTCTCACATCAGGGCTTTGGCTGGCCCACGCCGTGGTGCTTCAGGGCAAAGACCTGCCTCCACCAAGAAGTGGCCACAGCCGCCACCCCCGCTGCACTTTAAGATGTCCCATCCACAGAACAGCCACCGCCTTCCGCCCTGTCTCCCTCCCTCTGCGCAGCGGAGCGGCCAGACCACTGTCTCACTGTGCGGCCTTTTCTTCCTTTTCCATCAGGACACATTTCCCTTCGGCCTCCGGATCACACTTCTTTTTTTATTTTTATTTTTATTTTTTTTTTTAAAGATTTTATTTATTTATTTGAGACAGAGAGAATGAGAGACAGAGAGCATGAGAGGGAGGAGGGTCAGAGGGAGAAGCAGACTCCCTGCCGAGCAGGGAGCCCGATGCGGGACTCGATCCCGGGACTCCAGGATCATGACCTGAGCCGAAGGCAGTCGCTTAACCAACTGAGCCACCCAGGCGCCCCGGATCACACTTCTGCTCCTGGCCCGAATGAACATCCTGAGCAGCCCTCCCTGCCGCTTTGCTCCTTCCCCTTGACAACCTGGTAACGAGATCGCTGTGCTTGATCTTTCTCCTGCAAGCCGCCACTTCCAACCCCTTGTCATTTGCTGAAAGTCATTAGGAGACTCCTCTGCGAGGCACCGCAGCGCCCCCCTGCACCTGGCAGCTTCCCTACCCCCACCCTGCAGCTTAGCCCTGCCCCAGCAGCTTTCCCCCAACATCTGACAGCACCCCCCCAGCTCCCCCCACACCTAGCAGCCCCCCCTTCCTAACCTGGCAGCTTTCCCCCTCCACCTGACAGGTTCCCCACCCCCCAGCCCTGCAGCTTCCTCTCCTCACCTGGCAGCCCCCCTGCACCTGGCAGCTCTCCCTACATCTGGCAGGCCCCCTCCCCCCCGACCGGCAGTTTCCCCACCCCCCACCAAGCAGGTGCAGACTTCTTAGTTTTGCTGGAGGCCAGGCCAGGGGCACAGTGCAGGGGAGAGGCTCCCCTCTGTAGAGTCTGGCACCCTAACGGCCTGTGCCCTCAGTCTCCTCCTGCTGGCTCCCCCAGCATCCCCGAGAGCATCGCTCATGGATTCCTTGACGGTCTCTGAATCGGGCCCATGCAGACAATTGCACAAGCTGAGCTTTGTCACATTTATAAAGATAAATTAAAATATTATCACTAGAAACCTTCAATAATTTAAAAAAGCCTGAGACTTTTAATGAGTAAGTGGTCTGATTAAAAGTTGGAGAGAAATATTTCTCCTCCTTTTTGGGTGGGGAACATTGCTGTGGGATGAGGAAGCCAGTCTGGATCTTGAAGCTAAAAGGCTTGGACTGGGGCTCAGTGGGACCCCCACTCACCTCTCAGGGAAAGCTCCGTTTCGTGGGTCCAACCATGTGCCAGGCACTTGGCATCTAGTCTTTCAAGGATCCTTATAAAAAGCCGTGTGGGGTCAGTGGCTCATGCTTGCTGCTCATGGAACTGCCCAGCAAGTTTGGGGGAGGTCAAGAGGTCATTGGCATTTTTCTAAAGTTCTCCCACGTGGTTCTCACATGGAGCCCAGGCCCAGAACCACTGGGTTAGCACAGTGGCTCTCGAACTTGGGGGCATGTCAGAACCACCATGGGGCGCATTGAAACACAGATCCTGAGGCCCCATCTCCGAGTTTCTGGCTCGGTGGGTCTGGGGTGGAGCCCAGGAATCGGCATTTCTAACCAGTTCCCATTAACGCTGATGCTGCTGGTCCAGGGACGCCCCACAGAGAACCACCGAGTCCAGGCAGTGCTGGTGGGGCGATTACAGAAACAGAGAGGGGACGAGTCTCCCGTAGGACATCCAGCTGGCACATGGGGACGTGTCCCTTTGAATCCTTCGGATAAATTACTGAACCCCAGTGTGCCTTCACCTTCATCTTCAAAATGGGAAAAATAGTGCCCAGTCTCTGTGTAGATGCTATATAGGTACTAGATGGATGTGAGGTTCAATGAGGTCTTCCTTCTAGAACAATCCATGGCCCAGAGTAGGCTCAAGTCCTAATCCCGTTTATTTTCATTACTGCTTCCTGAAGGATCAGTTGAAGGGTGTCCCCCTCTGAGCAGCCTTCCTCCCTCAGCCCCAGAATGGGGCTCCCTCTGCCGTAGGGAGCCAAGCAGCTCTCTCTGAGCACCTGCCTCCCTGACAGCTCTGCCTACCGTGTGTCTCCCCCGTCCCACTGTGGGCTCCCCACGAGCAGGGGCCAGGTGTGATGGGGTCTGGAGCCCAGTGCCCCATGTGGAGCCTGGAATGAGGAAGCAGCGAGGGAGGTGGCTGGGGCTGCTTTCCCCGTCTTAGGATGTTCCTGTTGTGAATAATCAGAGGTTACAACCCCGGAGCATGTTTAATATTACCCCACGCACCCAGAGCACAGCCACGCGCCCCGGGGGGCTCCACAGATGCTGCCCCTGTGGTCTCCCCAGGCTTCTCTCCAGCAGGATGCCTGACTGCCACCTGCTCTCCTTCCTGCGCGCAAGGCCCCTGAGTCCCTGACTTGGTCGCTAGTGAGCGTGAGCGCAGGGTCCCAGCAGGTGCTGGAAGTGGGCTTCCCTCCGTCCTCCCCAAGTCCCTTGCTGCCTGCTTGGGCCCAGCCACCAAGGCCTCTCTCAAGCTGGACAGGAGCCTCCTAAGTGGCGTCCTGCACTGGTTGCCCCCCCCCCCCGCCCCCAGGCTGGAGAGATGGCTCTGAAATGTCGCTGGTCTCACTCCCCCGCTTAAACCCTCCAGCGACTGTGCAGCAGTCTGTGAATACAAATCAGGCCCGCTGCCCGCCTTCCCTGAGCGGCTGCACCGTCTTGGGGGGGATGGTGGCTCTCACGCTCCAACCCCCGCTGGGACAGCTCTTCCCACTCCTCCTCCCCTTCCACTGGCTCAAAGTTACCCGGCCCCTCAGTGACCCCCTCACCTCCATGTGGGGACTACCTTATTTTCTCCGGGGTCCTCACTCCTGTCTGAAATGAGCTTTCCTCAGGACCTGTCTGCATGAGGACAGAGCTCCTCACCCACCTGGGGAACTCTGTCTCCTTCCTCACTGTGTCCCCGCGTCCCTCAATGTTTGGGAGCCAAGTGACCTCAGGGAGTCACCACGTCTCTGAGCTTTGGCTTCAGAGAAGGGATGAATCAGTCCTGCTCTTTTGCAAGCCCTGCAGCCTTATCAGGGCAGACAGAGGCATCCTGCCGACTGTTCTGGAAAAAGCACAGGTGAAGCATCCGCCCCTCCACCCGCATTCCAGGTCTGGGCCCTCCCCCCACTCCGTGGTGGACCTTCACCAAGTCACCAATAATGTGGGCCTCGGTGTGAGCCTGGGTGGTGGTGGTGATGTGCCCGCGGCGGAGAGGCTCCGTCTGCGCCTCCGAGGGGCAGCGTGCCCGTGAGCCCAGCCCCCAGACCACAGGTAATGAGGGGCCGTGGGAAGGACGCTGCCGTGGGGCCAGAAAACCTGGGCTGGAATCTGGTCTCTGACCTGCTCTGGCCTGGGGAACTCAGGCAGTGTGTTTCCTCAACTGTGGAAAGGGGACCATCGCATGCACCCCACAGCCTGGTCGTGAGAATTACATACAGTAACCTGCAACGTCCCCCCCTGCCCTTGAGAGCAGACCCCCCCTCCTCTCCCAGCTCCAGGCCCCTGGGACAGTGTCCAGCCCAGAGTAGGTGCTCAGTCACTTGTCACGGTCAATTTTTCTTGAGGACAGTGCTTAGGGGCTCCCTTTTATTAAGACAAGCGAACAGACGGGGAGAGAGCTCAGAGCCAATGTGGCTGCATCACTTTACACCTCGGGAGGGGAGGTGGAGACTGGGGTGTTGGGAAGGCCCGTTGGGGCACTGGGTCGAAGCTGGGACTCGACCCACGTCTTTTCTGACTGCTGGCCCTGCCTTCCCCGCCAGCCACGATCTGCTGCATGCTTTGCTTGGAAGCTCCTTCCTGGGCCCCTGTTTGCCCGGCTCCCTGGCTCGCCTCCCTCGCCAGAGCACAGGTTCCCACAGCTGGTGGCCCCTGCTTCCCTTCCCGACCCTGGGCCTGAGCTGGAGATTTCGTCTGACAGGTTGGGAATTTACACCACCGAGGGGGAGGGCCAGGGCACATTCCGTGGGAGGAGACTTCTTAGACATCTGGCCGCCCCCGCCCCCACATCCTACCCCCAAGCCTGGGCACAGACAGCAGGGGCCCCAGGGATGCTATCTGTTATGGAATATGACTTCCGGTTGAGCCTGGGGGGTAGGGTGAGCCAGCAGCAGAAGACAGGGTGCTGGGTGCTTCTCCTCTTGGGGGCCGGAGGGACCCCCCCACACTCTCTACCCTTCCCAAATGTTTAAGGCTTTGCTCCTTTGCCCCATTTGGCTTTCTCTCTCTCTCTTTGGAGCGAATATATCCAGCTGGGAGGCAGGTATGACAGAGACCCTGGGCCTGCGGATTTTTACCTAATGCAGAGGCCTCTGGGGGGAGGATGGAGGCAGGCTTTCCCCCCACGCCCCCCAGGCCAGCTGAGGATGCAAAGCTGGCCTGGCCTCAGTGAAGCGCCCCCTCCTGTCCTCCCATTTTCCCTCAGGCCAATACGGAGCACATGGTGGGAGCTCAACAAAGTTCTATTGAAACCTGCCTAAAGTAGCCCATGACCTTGGGCAGCGACTTCCTGGGCTCTGAGCTTCAGTTTCCTTGGCTCTGGCTCTCTGCTGTGGCCTGTCAGGCTGTGCCCTGGATGGGACCTTGCCCCCACACCCCTCTAAATGCTTCTGCACCCAGGTGCCTGTCCTCATGTTCAGAGGCTGCCAGGTTGGTGGCCTCTGGGGTTGGAAACTACACTTGTACAGCCTAGGGCACAGGCGTGGCTGCCCGCGAGTAGGTTGTGCTGGGGGCAGCCTCAGGGCCTTTGCAAGTGCCTGGAGAGTCCCCTAGGTGCTGTCTGTACTCTGTCAGCTCCTCGGAGGGCCCTGCAGGAGAACACCTCCCCACGTCCACTCTGTCCTAGTTCTGGCTCTCTGGAGTTATTTTGTCCGTAAAGGTGTTCGCAGGGGTGCGGTCTGTCTCCCCGGTCAGACTGTCAGACTGTCGGCTCCAGGGCCTGGCACCTGGCTGGCTGTCGTTCACCCCTGTGCCCCCAGTGCCTGCAACTGTGCCTGGCCCCGAGTAGGTGCTCCGTGAGTACAGGAAGAAAGGGAGGGCGGAAAGGAAGAGGGCAGAGAGGAGGCCGGGCGCAGGGGAGGAACGAGGAAGGGAGGAAAGGGCTCTGTGGCTTGGGGCTCCTCGGGACCTCGGCCCAGGCCTGAGCCGGGTAGGCAGGCGCTCGCTCGGCGGGCGCGGGGCCGGCCGGCAGGTGGCGGTGCGCCCTCGGCTGCGCGGGCGGCGGCGGCGGCGGCGCGGCGAGTCCCCTCCTCCCGCCGGCTCCCTCCCCTCGCCGGCTCCTTTCTCCGCGCTCTCGCTCGCGCTCCCCAGCGCCCTCCCGCTCGCCCGGCCGCGGTCTCCCTCGCCCGCGCCGCCCCGCCGCCGCCCCTCGGCGACCATGGCGCACCGGGGGCCCCCGCGCGCCCCGAAGGGCCCCGGCCCCGCCGCCCGAGCCCCGAGCCCCGGGGCGCCGCCGCCGCCGCCGCCGCCGCCGCGCTCGCCGCGCTCGCGGCCGCTCCTGCTGCTGCTGCTGCTGGCCGCCTGCGGGGCGGCGGGGCGCTCCCTCGAGCCCGGGCGCCTGGGTCCCCGCGCGCTGCTGACCCGGGCGCCGCCGAGCCCGCCCGCGGGGCGCACGCTGCCTGGCGGCGGCGAGGACTGGCGGGCGCGCGGCGCGGAGCCCGGCGCCCCGGGGCTCGGTCCCGCTCCGGGTCCCGGCGGGGACGGCGCCCCCGCCGCGGGCCGGGGGCGCCGGGCGCGCCGGGCGCGGGCGGCGCCCGGGGCCGGAGCGGCCTCGCGGGCGCAGGTCTCGCTTATCAGCACGTCGTTCGTGCTCAAGGGGGACGCGACGCACAACCAGGCGATGGTGCACTGGACGGGCGAGAACAGCAGCGTAAGTGACCTCCGCGCGCCCCCCGCGGCCCCTGCCCCGGACACCTCGAGCCCCCACTTCCGGACCGCCCCGCGGTCACCCCCGGGCGTCTCGGCGACTTGGGGACGCGAGTCACCTCGGCGGCGCCCCTACCGGACTCTGGCCACCGGTTTCTTGGGGAGAGGTCCCTAGACCTGTGAGCACCCTGCCTCACAGGGTTCTGGGACCCCGAGCCACCTCGGAGCCGCCCCGTCTGGCCTCCAGATCCCAGCTTACGGGGTGGGGGTGTCTCCCGAGGCTTCGGGACCCTGGTCACCTGGGGTGCCTCCAGGTCCTTTAGGACCACCCCAACTCGGTGTCGCGCCCCGACCGCTCTCAGACTCCACCCGGTCTGCTCAGCGTTGTGTTCTGGGATTTTCCTGCGGGACCCTCTCCACCCAGGTCTACCCGGGACCTCGCTAGTGGTCTACCCTGGAGCTCGCTCCTCGGGCTCCAGGAATTCCCCGGTCAGCTCGGCGCGG